GAGGCTCACTGAAAGAAAGAAGTTGGCAGCAGGAGCTTGCCTAGACTTCAGTCTACTGAGTCAACATTGCGATGCAGCAGTTAAAAAGGCCATTGTGATTTTAGGCCGCATCAATAGAAGTATAGTGTCTAAATCAAGGGAAGTAATAGTGCCACTGTATTCTGCTTTGGTCAGGCCCCACCTGGAATACTGTGTCCAGTTCTGGGCACCACAATTCAAAAAGGATGTTGAAAAACGAGTGTGTCCAGAGGAGGGCAACTAAAATGATGAAGGGTCTGGAAACCATGCCCTATAATGAATAACTTAGGGAACTAGGTATGTCTAGCCTGGAGAAGAGATGGCTAAGAGGTGATATGATAACCCTGTTAGCTGAAGAGAAATAGGCGGAAAAAAACTTTTTTAAAAAAAATCCCATGTGGCTATCTAGTCTGACCCCAAATAGCAATCATAATCATTTTAGAATGCTGTTTTTCAACTATAAGCAATTGACTACTTCAACAGGACATTGACCGCCAGGACCCCCAAAGTTGTCAGTTTCCACCCAAACACTGCCATCTTGTTCCCTGGACAGAGCAGGGGTGGGAGAGGTCTGGTCCATTCATTTTCTTCCTCTGTGGGTGATACTGAAGATGTCTTCTCTTCCACCTCAGTAAACATTTCTCTTTCAGAGAATTTGAGGGTGTATAGACAGGTGGAAATACTGATCTTGTGGAGATATGAGAGAGATCGTTTCCTGAGTGCAGGACACAGTGGGATTAAGGCAAAAGCAACAAAAAAAGTTTTTTTATACTACAACCTCAGGTGTATATAAGTTTTAAATTCATGCTTCTTGTTCCAGGGGAATCACTAATACGATATGCATGTAGTTGACCGGGTGAAAGTCGCTTAGCCTCAACAAGGTTAACAAGACCTTATGTCTTCAGACCATTGTTCTATATTTTGTGTTATGTTTTGATCCAGTCCCAACTCTTGAAATCAAACTTCCATGGGCTTGCATTCAGTTTCTTCCCCCTTATCCCCACATTTCCTTATCAAATATACCATCTACTGGCTAGATTAAATCTACTGGCTAGCTCAAAGCCCCACTGCTTTGAGTGTGTTCCTCCCTTTTTATCTCTTTTACTGCAGGAATGGGCAAAGTGAGACATGTGCTCCCTAAGGCTATTGCTGTACCTCTCAAGACAGCTAACCCAACAGCTCTTTTGCCAAACAGCTCAATAAGGTTTTTTCACCATCACTTTTGAAGGGTGATCTATAAAAACAGTATTTAGGGTGCTTGAGGCACCAAATCCTGTCTGATCTTGGAAGCTAAGCAGAATCAGCCCTGTACTTGGATGGGAGCCTATGCATACAATTTTTATTTTTATAGTTTCTTTTAAAAATTATAAAAGTTACATATTTTAGAGGAAGGCACTGGCAAAACCACCTCTTGAGTACAGTTGACCCACCTTATCCGTGGATTTTTTTTATCCACAGTTTCAAGCATCCTTGGCTTGAAAATATTTTAAAAACATATAAATTCCAAAAAACAAACTTTGATTTTGACATTTTATATAAGGGACACCATTTTACTATCAGGGTCTGCAGACTGCCAGAAATAGTGCAAATTGAGTCCACTTTAACTGCCCTTGCTCAGTGCTAGGGAATCATGGGAATTGTATTTTTTTCTGAGGCATTGAGCCTTCTCTGTCAGAGAACTCTGGTGCCACAATAAACTACAGTTCCCATGATTCCCTAGCACTGAGTCAGGGCAGTTAAAGTGGACTCAATTTGCACTATTTCTGGCAGTCTGCAAAGGCCCTATGTTACTGTATGTAATGGGACTTGTGCATCCATGGATTTTGTTATCCATGGCAGGTCCTGGAGCCAAACCCCAGCGGATACCAAGGGCCCACTGTAATCCTTGACTAAGAAAACCCTATGAAATTCCTGTCATCTCTTTAAATTGATAGGTGGGTGGTTTGAAGGCTCATACACACACACTTGATTATGTGCATCACAAAGTATTCCTTCTTTCCTATGCAGCTGGGTACCTGCATGCCAGTCGGATGCTTTTCAGTCCCAACGTCTTGATTCTTCTGCGTGGCATCCCTCGTCTACTCCATTGTGCTGCAATGAGTACATCACAAATGAGCACAACGAGTACAACACAAATGAATACTGTCACTGGTACATTTGAACTACAGGAAGCCCTCAACTATCGAGACGGTACCCGAATTGAGCCAGCGGATGGGGACCACATGGAGGATGCATATGAGCCAGCAACTGGTAGTTATCTCCTGGGGTGATGCTCTGGAGGTCTGGAATTCAAGGGATGTCTGCCTGTCATACAGATATGTGTGATCAGGGTTAAGCAAGAGCTGATTTGGGAATGTATAGTTTCCTTTGTATCATGTTAATCTGGTGCCAATACCATTTAAGTAGATGTGTGTGTGTATTTAAGAGATATGTTTTAAAAATCTTCATTGAATGTTAACAACAGTTTAACTGAGTTGCAACAAACATATACAACTGTTTCATAACAATATATTTCCTTAATTAATGTACAGCACGCCGGTGCCAAACGCAGGCTTGCCATCCATGGTTTGAGCTTACACGGATGGCTTGTCCTGGCTTTTTCGTTGGGCAGGCATGTGGCAACATGGCCACATCATATATTTGTGGTAGTAATAGGTAAAAGATAAAATGGGGCAAGTCTTCTATTGTTGTTGTTGTTGTTGTTGTTAACTGCCAACAAATCAACTTCAGCTTATGGCAGCTCATGAATGAGAGACCTTCAACTCACCCTCACATCAACAGCCCTGCTCAGGTTCTGCAGACTCAGAGCGGTAGCTTCCTTGATTGAGTCTATCCATCTGTAATGCAATCTTCCTCTTTTTCTACTGCCTTCTGCCCTTACTGAGCAACATTGTCTTTTCTGATATGTCATGTCTTCTCATGATATGTCCAAAGTACAAGTCTCAGCTTAGTTATCTTGCTTTCTAGAGAGAGAGTTCAGGCTAAATTTGTTCTAGGAATCATTTACTTGTCTTTTTAGCAGTCCATGGAACTCTTCTCCAGAACCAGATTTCAAATGATTTCATTTTCTTCCTGTCAACTTTCTTCACTGTTGAGCTTTAAATAGGAAATATGATGACACAGACGCATTCTAAGTTTTTGCTATATTCTGCTAGTAGTATGGTGTCATCTGCATAGCTCAAATTGTTGATGTTCCTTCCTCCAGATTTAACACTTCCTTCCTCTGAGTCTAATCTTGCTTTACATATGATATGTTCAGAATGAATGTTAGACAGATAGGGTGATAAAATGCAGCCTTGCTTGACTCCCTTACCCATTGGGACCATTCTCTTTCTTTATGTTCTGTCCTAACAGTAGCCTCTTGTCCTGAGAACAGATTACACGTCTGGATGATCTAATGTGGCACACCCATAGTTTTTTTTATACAGTCAAAGGCTTTGCTATAAAACACAGACTGACTTTCTTTTGAAATTCTTTAGTCTGCTCCTATTGCTTAGAGACTGCATAGTGTGGTATGAAGTGGTATATAAATGAAGCTGCTAT